AGATAAGGCTGTGGGTAGTGGGAAAACAATGCTTAATGCAAATAATAAAATGTAACTAAACATATATACATATTTTTAGCTAAATGCCTATCAACTTCTAAAGGGAAGCAGAAAATGCTTGCAATATCTCCCAATCAAATTCATCTGTCACTTGGAATAAACAGTTTCTGTTGTGATGAATTATTGGCTGCTGAAAGCATGAAACCTTAAAATGACATTTTCTATTATAACTTTACTGTTTTGAGTCTGTAAATGTTATGTCCAATGTAAAATATGGGCCCCAACGCAAATCCTGTTGAAAAACACTGATTTTTGACACTTTTATGACAGTGACGTACATTAACACGTTACACTGATTGTTTGTAACAGGAAATTACAGTGTTAATGTTGCGAAATTTCTCAGTTATGTAACAATTTAAACAGCAGCTCTACAGAAGACAATAGTGTCATTATAAAACTCAGTTAATTTTGATGTTCTCGTCCGGTAGTGTAAGTACAGTCGTATCGATAATATTTTTTCAATATTAATTATTCTTTAAGACCCCATTTTATATTTAATAAAGCAAAGTTACGTGGATGTTGCACCAACTTTTCACAAAGATGACTGCAATTAGATTAAGTATGCATAAAATATGTTGATAAAGACAGCAAATGCTGTAGTGTTATATATTAGGTAAAATTAGTAAATAGACTCTTTCTGTACAACAGAGACGAGGTTATGTATTATGTATCCAGAAATGTCTTAGCAAATTAGCTTCTGTTCTTTATTATGCAGGCAAAAAAAAGCATTTGAACTATCTGGGGATCAAATTCGAGTCATATAAACTAACGCTATCGTATATAATGCTCTAATCAGACCAAAACTACAAACCTTCAACGCAGAGCTGTATTGTTTACAACCGTGTCCATACTCTGAAATGGGCATGCGCACTGCACTACTACGCTTGCTATAGGCTCGTTGCTAAGAGACGAACGCCAAACGAACCAACCTGTCAATTACATCTAACATACCCCGCCCGCTCAAGTTTGATTGGTGGAATATGTAATTCAAAGAGTAGCTACACATCCTATTGGATCAATCTGCTGTCACTTACTCAGACGCCACGCCCATCCAAACGCGCTCAAGGAAACCAACGACAGCATTTCCTTCACTTGTTTACTAACAGATCACGCAAGTTGTAAAGCTGTGGTTTGGTTCTGCTGATACTTTCGAGATGGTAAGTATAGTTTAGGTTACTTTTAAAACTTTGTGAATGAATTCACGTCAGCATAAACTAGTTAAAAGGTTAATACGCTGTTTGTTAGCCTAAGCTGTTAGCTTGTTGGCGTTCTTATGGAAACCAACAGAGACTGTCGTTCACTTTATTTGTTGAGATGAATGGCGAAAACAATGCGATTTATTTAATATTATGATGTATACACATTTATTGAGGCACACATATTCTAAACCGTACAGTAAATGTGTTTGCCTGAATCTAATTAATTAAATGTGTGATAATGAAAAACTAATCCAGTTCTTACAGCCTCCACCAAATACAGATTACCAAGTAACAGAACTGATCTAAACGTGATTTAATTAATTAACCTTTTTTTATCCCTGCAAAAAAAAAAAAAAAAAAAAAATATATATATACAAACACACACACACACCCATTAAATATATGCTTTATTGCTATAAACATAAATATAAAATATCTGCTTTATTAAGTATATATATATATATATATATATATGTGTGTGTGTGTTATGTATGTATGTATGCATATATATTATGTATGTGTGTGTATATATATATATATATATATATATTATAATACATTTTATTTATAGGCGCCTTACATGACACTCAAGGACACCTTACAAACATAATACATGTATATATATATATATAAACACACACATTATATTTATATATATATATACATGCATTACACACACACACACACATACTATAGATAGATAGATAGACGCAGAACAGGTCTGTGAATATCCAAAAATTGCTTAGAATATTCTAGTATATGCATTTATGGATAGAAGTGTGTATTTGCGCGCATGTATAGCTATATATGTATATGGGTATATTTAGGTATATACGTATGCGTAGGGATGTATACGGGTTCGTATGGTTTGCGAATGTACTTATGTAGATGCACGAATGAAAGTTATTTATTTAGTATATTTACCTTTTACATAATTGACATATTACCGTAATAACTTGTTTTAAATAATATATTGAATGTTTTTGCTTGGACTAGGGGTTGAGTGGCATTGTTTGGGTATTGAGTGTGTATGTGGGTAAGGGAATTAGAGGTGTTTTTGAATTATTATGTTAAGTAGGTCGTTGTAAGGTAAACCATATCGTTTTGTAATTAATAGATATTCAGATTATTGGGATTATGTCTGGATTTCTGTTGCTGCTGTAACACCTTAATTTCCCCTCAGGGATTAATAAAGGAAGTCTAAGTCTATAGTGTAAGTGTGCAGATATCTATAAACCATGCTGAAATACAGTACATACAATATACAAAAAGAAACACAGGATAGTGAATATTTTGGATGTGGTGAGTCATATCTGTTATTCCTCCTCTATTGCAACAGGGACAGTATTTTTAGTTCATTTTATAGTCTGATTCTATGATTATTTTATGATTATTTCAAACAAAACTCATCAAAACAGCATGATAACGCCCTCTGGTGGATCTCTCTCTTTCTTCATGTTTTACAAGGCTTCCAGCTTCAGGAAACCCAGTGCCACAGTGAACCAGCGGAAGAGAGCAGGACCCAAACCAGAGCTGACAGAGGAGCAAAGGCAGGAGATTAAAGAGGCGTTCGATCTGTTCGACACAGACGGGTCTGGAAGCATAGATGTGAAGGAACTGAAGGTAGAAAGGGTTTGAGACCTGTAGCACTCACGCTAGCTATAGACAGAGAGCACGAGACAGCATCTGGGCTGAAGAACTGGGTAAATCTTGAAATGACCTAATCGTAAAATACCATCTGAGTGACTAATCTTACTCTGGCTAATGAATTTACCATGAGGCTACCTGCATAATCTCTAATAATTATCATTAATAGGAATTTGAATAGACTTATTTTCTCTTTAATAGACTATTATTACTTTTTAACAGGATTTTGAATTATTTATTGACACAAAATGTCAAATATTTAAAGACTATTCTACAGTTTTGCAAGCAGATTTATTCACAGGCATGGTTTATTTTTGTCTTCAAATCTAATTTCAAGCATTTAAAGGGATAGTTCACCCTAAAATGCCTTTAAATTAAGGGCCCTTTCACACCTACCTTGTTTCGTCCGGACTTTCGTACTTTTCAGTTTGGTCCGAATTAAAATTACAGGTGTGAAACCTCCGGCCACCAAACAGATGAAATTTGGTCCGACGAAAAGAGCTAGTCTCGGTCCGGATCAAACTGAACAAAGGTTTGGTTCGTTTCTAGTGTGAAAGCATTTCTGTATGGTTCGGACTTTCAGACCTTTTACAGGAAGCTCCGGTGGTTCCCGCATAGCCGAAAAAACAGAAGGTGTCAGGAAAAATGAGCCGTGGTAGCGCATGAGGAGAGGAGGAGACGAGGTTTTTAATTGAAGTATGGTCTGATGACATAAGAAGAAGTCAACTTGCAGTCTTCTCCTCCTTTCCTGCCGGCGGCGATAAAATATTCGCACGACGAGGACGTTCATTTGGCGAATTTGACCTAGCCTTGTGTATAGTTGGTGCTGCAGGTAATTATGCCATAAAAATAACAATATAGTTGCAACGATGCGTCTGTTCATTCATGTTGTCAAACGCGAGTGTGTCACGTAAAGTTCTTTAGTGCGCTCGCATAATTGCAGTGTGAAACCAAACCAAAACTTTCTGAAAGTATAAAATGTATAAAAACGTGAACTTTGGTTCGGACCTTGGTGCGGACTTTCAGGTGTGAAAACGCCCTAAGTCATCGTTTACTCACCCTGCTGTTCTTCTAATGTCGTATGCCCATTATGACCACAAAAGGAGAAATTTAAAAAATAAAGTCCCGCTCACGCTCGTCCATATAATGGCTGTGAATAGAGACCAGCATCAAGCTTTTAAAAAAGACACAAAAGTATCACCGAATGATCTGATGTCAAACGTGTCGTATATATTCCAAGTGTTCTGTGCTCGACTGCGTGTTCATGACTCTTATTATTAATCTTGATTTCTAATAACTTGTGTGTTTTTCTGTGTGTGTCGGAGTGATTGCGGCGCTAATAGAGGCCCCGTCCACACGACCTTTTGCTACGTTTGCACCTCCCGTCCACACTAAAACGGCAAAAACGGAGACCCAAAACGGAGAAGTTTAGAAACGCTGCCGATCCGTTTTTCGTTTTGAATCTCCGGAGGGCGTTTTAGTGTAGACGGGTCAAAACGGAGGACTTTAGAAACGATGACGTAGTAGAGGCTCACGCTCGGCTCTATGATTGGGTGTCATCAGTCATGGCGTATATCTTTGCTAGCAGCTGTTGTACAAGTAAATTCTGCATTTTACAACGCTATAACTGCCTACATGCGCCGGAGTCAAGCTATTATTCCAGCGATCTGTGACAATTCCCGTGTGCAGCGGCGGCGTTGACCGTACATGGAGCGTCGGTTTGGGGTTAACCCAGAGCATGGTGGGATAATTTTATCAATGAAGTTGTGTTTACACCGGCACGCGCATGCCCAGTGTTGGTGAATGGTCACGTGATCCGCGTTTTCAGTCGTTTTAATGTGGACGGAGATCAATTCTAATACGCAGCTAAAACGCTGGTGTGGACGGAGATCGTATTCGTTTTAATTCTCCGTTTCCAAACTAAAACGCAGTAGTGTGGATGGGCCCAGAGTCTCATGAACACGCAGTCGAGCACAGAAGATCAACGGTCAAACTCAGGATCTTCGTTAAATTATACATTCAATTTCAGTTTGTGTTCCCCAAAACCCTATCGTATAACTCCAGAACACTTGGAATATAATACGACACGTGTAACATCGGATCATTCTGTGATACTTTTGCGTCTTGATACCAAAAAAAAAAAGCTTGATACCAGTCGCTGTCCATTATATGGACGAGACATTTTTTTTTAAGTCTCCTTTTGAGGCTTGAAAAAGAAAGAACAACATCTGGCATTAGAACAACTGTAGGGCGAGTAAATGAGGACAATTTTCATTTCAGGGTGAACTGTCCCTTTAAGACACTACAGGTTATTACGGTAAAACAATTAACTAATAGATATCACAATTCTTCCCCAGTTGATTGATTACATTAGGTATTATAAATATTTTTTGCAAATAAGTTATGTTTAAATATGCAAATGAGAGATTGTGTAATTAAATGTGCACAATTTGCATAAATCATAACTCCAAGATAAACGTGGATCAAAATTTTTGTTTCATTTTGTTGACAATAGTTGTGGATTTTGGATTTTTATTTGTTATCTCTCCATAAATCAGACAATACTGTCAACAGCCAGAAAAACAGCCATGAAAAACAGCCATAATCATCCATTTTTATCAATTAGAATATTGTGAAAAGGTTTTCATAAGCTGTAATCCATAATCATCAAAATGATAACAAATAAAGGCTTGAAATATCTCACTTTGACCTGTACTACTAACAGACTACTTGACTTGTTGCCATAGGTTGCTATGAGAGCTCTGGGGTTTGAGCCAAAGAAAGAAGAGATCAAAAAGATGATCGCTGATATTGATAAAGAAGGATCGGGCGTTATCGACTTCAATGATTTCCTTTCGATGATGACACAGAAAATGGTAAGTCCTGAGCTAACCCCTGTAGTGCACCTCAGATGATGATGTCAATAATTTCTCATTAATGTGAGGTGAACCAGAGACAATTTCTTTAGAGACATGCCACTTCCTCAATCCTCAATACAACTACAGGGAAAACCCGTAACGCCAAACATGGCGGTTGTATGCACATGCCCCGCCCCTCCCGCTGGAAAGCCAATCGTCTGCTTTTAACAGTCAAGCCGGGAAACATGTAAGCCTATCGTCTGGTTCCACTGGCGACAGCGGAGACGAGAACCCTTGCGCATGCGTAGTAAAAGTATAACCTGTGGGGAAAAAGACCTTTTAAACCTTATTTTGGGGCAAAGTCATCAAACTTTTTCAGCGATTTTTATCATATTTTACTGCTGTTTCTATACAAGCAGTTTTTATGTCCCGGTGACCAGTGAAACTGCAGTTCTGACTCTCTGCCCATTCATTTAGATAGGAGCCTGGTCTGGTTAGTCCGAAATAGCTGCCCGGAGGCGTTGCCAAGATTGCGGCCGAGTGGCATGACTTGCCTAAAAGGACTTTGGGTGAACCCATCAGGCTTACCATTCTGGAATTCGTGTTATACCACCGTAGAATATATGTTCGGTGTGCAGGACTGTTTTTTCCACAAGTGAGAGCAGGGAAGAAACGAGTCCAGAACAAGCCGATGAAGAGCTTACGGTTGTTTTTACAGAAGTGGCTCCTCCAAGTGGATTGAACTGAAACTATCCATTTTATAATGTTAGTTTCACTGTTTCAGTCTTTTTTGAAGATGTTTTTGCACTGACTTCTAAAAAGAAATATGAATAATTTAATAATTTGGTTTGTGTACATCAAGTTCGCAACTTAAGTATTTCATTTAATAGATTATCCAAAAATAGGCTTTAACGTGGTTATGTAATTTGTATTATTTCAGTGTTATTTTAGTTTAACTATAGTTTTATAGCTTTTATTTTTATTTTCATGTTTTAGTTACATTTTTTGTCATTTCGTTATGTGCTTTTATCATTTTATTAGTTAAATATTGCTTTTTATGTTTATTTGATTTTTATTTCAGTTTTAGTTCTGTATTTCCAGTTAATAATTTTAGTGCTTCAACTTCAACTCGTTTCAGTTTATTGCCACATTTCTAATTTTCATTTCGTTTTTAAACTAACATTTATAATATGTATTATGGGTGTAACGATACCCTCATGTCACGATCCGATACATATCACGATTCTGAACTCACGATACAACATTATTGCGAGACACATGATAAAAGGTTAACAAAAAAAGGACTGTTGATTAAAATGCTAAATTTGGTATTACACTGGGGTGTAAATGAATAGGCTTGGACTTGGTCCTGATAACCCAAAGCACAGGACAATAGAGACACCAGAATACACATATTCATGATTCTGAAGATGAAAACTGAATTATTTTAGATGAATATGCTTGTTCTCTGTCACTGACTACATATATAGATATTTAAATATATATTTTTACTAGTAACGAGACATTTGGCATTATCAGGACCCACAAATATTCCCCCATTGCATTATTATACATTATATTCATATAGTAGTTTGATGTAGTACTGACACTAAAACTCTGTAAACTTTCAAAACTTCATTTTGGGTGACCTATACAATATATATATACATTAGATAGACTATATACTGTCACTATCCACGATACATATTGATTCATTTTGCATTGCGATATATTGTTACACCCCTAATATTTATTAATACTTTATTTCAATGAACAGAAATGTTTTTAATAGTTTTAGTTTACAATAATAACCCTGTATTATATCAAAATGTTTATCATAGTGAAAAACATGTTTTGGAAGAAGAAGGAATGATGATGTATTGACTCATTATTTAAATTGTGTTAATTTTGAACAAAAAGTGTATATAGTGTACCTTTAAATTCCCAGCAGAAATACAAATCTTGACGCTGTATACGGTTACTGTGATATATAATTACTCATTCTGTGATTTTGGTCATACTGCCGCCTCCTACACTGTTGATCTGTGTGGCATTTATCTTCCACAACAGAGTGAGAAGGACTCAAAAGAAGAGATCCTGAAGGCTTTCAGGCTTTTCGACGACGACTGCACAGGCAAAATCTCTTTCAAAAATCTGAAGCGAGTGGCCAAAGAGCTCGGGGAGAACCTCACAGACGAGGAGTTACAGGTGTGTGTGTGTGTGTGTGAACCTCGGACAGATGGATGTCTCTCCTGAGAAACTGGCGGGTTAGTCAGTGGGTAGTGAATGACATAAGATCAGATAAGATCCCTCATCATGGAGGAACAGCTGACATCTTTAGGAAACACAACATGTTTTTGAAGATTGTTTTTGTTAAACAGGAAATGATCGACGAGGCCGACAGAGACGGTGACGGAGAGATTAATGAGCAGGAGTTTCTACGGATCATGAAAAAGACCAGTCTGTACTGAATCCCTCGTAACCGGCACTAAAGCTATTATATCTATAAGCCTCTTAAGGGAATTAAAGTGTCGTTTTGTGTCGCTTTCTTTTCTTTTTTTTACATGGTTGTAAAAAATATTTTAATCTATACATATTTTGTAAACTATTAAATAAAAATGTATTTGCATCTATCCTGTCAGTGTCTGCACAGTGTCTCAAAAAGTCCAAAAGTGAAAGATGCATGAGAATAAAAAGTATATATATATATATATATATATATATATGGATAGAGAAACATGTTCTTTTGAGACACAGCATTTTGTCCGCTGTCTACAGTTTTAAATCCTGGCGCATCTTATAGTGGAAATCCCTTTTATAACCAAATGTTGTGGGTTTGGCATAAAAATTTCCTCTACTTTGTCTTAGACACAATATATATATATATATATATATATAAGTCCCCCTGTAGTGAGAATCCAGCTTTTAATGTTGTTTATATATATCAATGGTGTTTTTAATCAATCAACAGCATTGCTGAGTATTTTCTCCAGTGAACCAAAAACACGGTTTGAAATCGCTGGTGTTTCTGACGTCACAAACGAGCTTGTAACCAATCAGATCACCGTGCCGGCGGGCTTTAGCATATCATTAACAGTGAACTAGCAGGGGAGTCTGGAGAGAAGCAGCTTATCCTGGTGTATTGTTCTGTTGATCTCAAATATCGGGTAGATTCAGCAATAAAGCGGGTGTATGATGTATATTACGGTGTTATGATGAACTATATGACGTGTGTTTCTGATGATTGTTAGACGGCAGCCGTCTGACTCTGAGATGCGGACGGGAACATGGGTTTGTAACATTAGCAACACATTATTAGATCTTTGATAATATAGTCAAACTAAAGGCTAATCATATTTATCACGTTATGTGTCCGGCGTTGTAAAGAGCGAGACCATTGTGCAGAGTTTACCTCAGTAAGTCGACCGAGTGGATCTCTGAGCGGCTGTGAGTGAGTGGAGGCGGGGCTAATTAGCATATTCATAGATCCGCGTATATTAAATGAAGCAAAAGCGTAGTTACATTCAAGCTATTTTAAGGCATGATGACATTTTTTCACAAAAAAAAAAAAAAAAAGTTTAAATGTGTAATTTTGGTGATCAGAGATGAGTTTTAAGGGATACAATGATTGACTACAGGGGGACTTTAAGGGATTAAACAAACATTTGATTATTTCTGAAACTGGACAGACACATCTCAGCTCAGGGAATCTGTTGGTATCTATGAAACTGCTAACATTAATTTAGGAAATTTCACTTCAAGTCACATTTATTTGCCTTCTTCTTCTTCTTAGTCTTGAGCAAGACGAAACTGAAAAAAGTTCCTCCAGAGCCACATGTTGTGGGATTTTCAGCCAGCAATGAACAACATTCAATAACAACAAATCACAACATTCGTTAAACACCAAATACAACACAAGTTGTTGATTGCATTTCAAGTCCAGGATGAATCAAAGGTCGAGAGTGTGAGAATCACCAGATTGCACAACTTGTAATTTTTTAACTGTCCAAACCTAAGAAGTCGATCGAATAATGTCAAATAATGTTTAAATTAAAATCTAAAAATGACAGTAGTCTGTAAGTTATGCAGAGTAAAAAAATAAATATATATATATATATATATATATATTTCGCTTCATTTATAAACATAAAAATCAATCAGAAAATGCAAAAATTAACCAGACAAGTTTTCTGAAAAGTTTCAATGTTGTTCTGAAGTACTTAGAAATAAGGCCGCTTTTCCCAACAAGCCTCATCATTTGAAGTATCGTCCACAAATTTAGCTTTAATGTGCTTTAATATTTAGGGTAAAATCCCTAACCCTAAAAATGAGTAATGTTAAAAGTGATGTAAATACCACTACACTGTAGCCTGTGCTGCCTTAAATGTTTGAGTACAATCAACTTGGATGTTTAATATCGACTATATGACTATATCAAATTTTTGTATATCTTGTATAACTTATTAAAAAAAGTTTAAAACAATGTCAAAGTTAAAGCAATGTAAAAACATGTTGTCATGATATTTTTTTTATTTTATTTTTTTACAGTGTATCATATTCAAACACTATGATTTTTATACACTGAAAGGTGGTTCAAAGTTATGAAAAATTGGTGTGGTGCAATTTGTTAAACCAATAAAATACTTTACAACAAGGTCCCATTAATTAACATGAACTAATAATGAACTATACATGTGTTATTGTTAACATAAGTTAATGAAAATATAACAGTTCATCGTCACTTCATTTTAGCTCAGATCCATTAAATATTAAATAATATTAACAGAAACAACTTTTGATTTAAATGATGTATTAGTAAAGGTTAAAATTAACATAAACTATGATTAGTAAATGATTAAGATTTAATTGTTAGTTCATGTTAACAAATGGAACCTCATTGTAAAGCGTTTTGTTGGATAACAAGTTGAATTGCATTAAACTGACTTAAAAAACAGGTAAATCTAGTATAACTTATTTTAAAAAAAGTTAAAAATTGCTTGTTTTGATGAGTTAAAGCAATGTAAGAACATGTTATAACTTATTGATCATATCATTTTGACAGTGTAATAATGTTATTTTTTGTCTTAAAATGCACATTCAAGTTCCTTATGCAGTATTATAATAAGTATTTAACAGATATGCATCTATGATTCGTGTGTTTAGACGAGTAAACATGCGTCTGGAGGCCTGTGAGAGCAGAAACATCGTGCCACCAGTATGACTCAATCAATGTGAGAGAAATGAATGATGCCTAAATGAAATGACTGAACGCGAACCCTAATGACTAAGGCATCAGTAAAAGTGATTTTGCTCTTTCTGTCTAAAAGTGAAGCCGCAAACACCAGACCCTTAATACAGGCCGCCGAACCCTCACGGCGAGCCACTAAAGTGAGTTTTCCGCTAATCAAATACCTGTGTGATAAACAGGATTTTAGTCACTGCTGTTTTTCCAAGCCCTCTGCGAACTACAGAGGCGTTGGTGGATCCGCTTGCATCAAGGTGAAAGTTTGTTTACAAGTTTCAGACACTATAATTTCTAAATGGAAAGTAGGAAATGGTGAAGCGACGTGCGTCAAGGTGTCGATATTTCATGGCCGGCTCCGTATCTGAAGGTGGGATCGCTCGCCTGATGGGTTTTTCACAACAGCCCTGAATGTGTCCATCTCATATTTTTAGTGCAACCAATCTTTTTTTAGTGTTTATTGAAGGCTTGAACGTTTAATCTTCAAGCCATATGAAACACACCGGTTGAGCAGCAGCAGAACTAAAACGCCGTCTAAAAATGTGTTGTTTTTTCCCAAAATTGTGAAACAGTCTCGCCGTCTGTTATTGTCTGCTCGAGACGAATCGTCTGAATGAATCATCATAACTTTCAAACAAAACCTAGATATCTATTCATACATTTACAGAAAGTACCAAACGTTCAGGATATTGATACAGTTGCGGCTTGTTTGAATAATGATTTTTGATGTACTTAGAATAGAATATATGGCCCCAAAATGATATGATCAATAAGTTATATACAAGTATAGTTATAATATAGTTATAAGTATAGCCACTTTTTTTATATACAAGATTCAACTCGTTTTTTAAGTCAGTTTAATGTAATTTGAGTTGAGATGACTTAAACATCAATGTTGATTGTACTTAAAATTTTAAGGCAGCAACTTTATTTACGGCGTATATGACTAGTTATACATGTTATAAATTAAAAATGACTTTAAGTATTTAATTTGGGGAATGCTTGTTCTCTTATTTATTTTATATTATCAAGAAAAAATCTTTTGTTTTACCCTTTAAACTCCTTTTTCCAAAAAAAGGCTTTACAATGAGGTTCCATTAGTTAACTAACAATGAAAAAATATTTCTTAATCCTTTACTAATCATAGTTTATGTTAATTGTAACCTTTACTAATACATGATTAAAATCAAAAGTTGTTTCTGTTAATATTATTTAATGGATCATCTGAGCTAACATGAAGTGCCGATGAACAGTTATGTTTTTATTAACATTAACAAAAAAAAAAACGTTAACAAAGATACGATAACACATGTATAGTTCATTATAAGTTCATGTTAATTAATGGGACCTTATTGTAAAATATTTTAAATTGCACCACACCAATTTTTTATAACTTTCAGTGTATAAAAATCATGTATTTTTACATTGCTTTAACTTTTTTTTATAAGTTACGCAAGATTCAACACATTTTTTAAGTCAGTTTAATGTAATTTAAGTTGAAATGACTCAAACATCCAAGTTGATTGTACTTAAAAATTGAAGGCAGCCACATTTTCCATAAAAGTGTTGTTTTTATTGCAGTATAATGGAATATGAAAAGTAATATGGGGTCAAATGACGGGAGTATTCATAAACAAAGCTATTTACATGATACTTCTATAGATATATATTGTGCTTTTTGTGCTTTTTTGCTTTTTTATTTGGGCCGTATACTTTATAAGTGCACTGACCCATGTCCCCCCCTACAAGTTAACTAATTAACTAACAAATGACCTTTAAAAACACAAAGCGAAGGCAAAATTTCCCATGTACCGGTGCAAGCGTACCCCGCGCGATCTTATGCCCCGCTCTTATAGGAAAATTAGCTTTCAAGTCACAGATAATACTCCCACATATGGGCCTCTGGACAGAAACTTGTGTCTTGTTTCCTCTAAATCTCTGCGTTTCCGTAACAACACAGTTTTCAGAAGCGGCGATCAGTTAACCCCTAAATGCCAAGGAAATGTCACCGTTTCAGATATGATAATAAAGTGTTAATTGAGTGAGAGACCCCTTTAGTTTTCAGTCAGAGAGCAAAGAGAGCTGAGGCTGACGGCATGGACTGGTATGTACATCTGACTGTTTATGGGTTTTGGCATGTTAATTGTTGTGTAGAAATAGCATAGATATACTGTGTCGACACTTAAATGAATGTACTGTAGTGTGATGTAGTGTATGTATACACAGCAAGTGTTCGTGCATTTGTATGTTCCTGCTTGAAGTGCTTTACACACACTGGTTTACACACAGAAAGGGCGTGACTGACTCTGAAAGTGGAGTTACCTGAGAGAAGCGACATCTACGTCACCTGTGGACGTCCAACACCTTTACACATCACATTTCTGCTTATCTTAAACAAC